CATGGTCGGCTGGTGCTCAATCCTGTCAGGGTCTTCTGAGGGACTGTATGCAACGCATTTCAGAACCGCTCACCAGGGAGAAGAGAAGTGGAAACATTTGTCCATTGCCCATTGGCTCCTGCCCCCCGTTGGTCAAGGATGATCCCATCAGTATAACTTCTCTTCTTCCAGGTTATGCACGCGTGAGAGTTTCGAAGTAATCCCAAGGCAGAGAGGCTGTGTTGCAGGAAGTCAAATGTATGTGGTGCAGGTCCTAGACACGGCATTACTGATTTCACCCACAAGAAGCCAAAGTCTGCGTGAAACCACCTGTGTCAGCAAAGGTAAGGTCAAGTGGACTTTGAGGTTGTGCAAAAGAGATGCTCGTGTATTGGCTTTTTTGAATCTGTGAGCATTTTTACACATGTGGCTTGGTGCACATGTGTACATATTTCTGTTCGTCTATTCGTAGGAGTGGAATTGTTGGAACAGAAGATATTTACATATTTAAGCTTAGGAGATATTGCCAAACAGTCTTCTAAAGTGCTCATATTTATTTCCATTCCCACCAGCCACGTATGAGAGTTGAAGTTGCTCCAACATTTTGTGTTGTCGTATCTCTTTTTAAAATATCATTTAAATGTATATGTGTATATATATCTCACTTTCTAATGGCTAAAGATTATTGCCAGAATGTGTCTCCTTCTCTGCTTGGTTCACTTAGCACCACATTTCACTCTGGTCACTGGAGTGCTGTTGTATCCTGGGCTGCAGATGTGCTCATGTATTCTGGGCTATTGTGGTGAGATCAACAACTTTGCACTTGACCTCAGTGGCAATCCAAAGAAAACAAAGGGAAAGGAACAAGACATTTAACATCCCCAAAAGAAGTCACCATAATTGATTATATTTCATTTATCAGGAAACCATTCCAAGTCTTTGACTAATTTGAGACTCCCCGTTGTGATAGAGAATCTCTTCCTTTATGAGATGGTATAATCCTTGCCAGCAGTATCCAGGGGCCTTCTCTGCTCAGAGTCTTCTCTGCTCTAGGCTGTCTGTAACATGTACTCTTTAACAGAGAAACAGGAAGGAAGGAGAGACCACCTTTCAAGGTCTGGCCCCGGACTCCCTTTCTCCTTAGTTCCCACCCAAGGTGGACCACCCCTGACTCCTCTGTAATGCAATGAAACAGTCAATGCTCTCATTCTGAAGTGCTCCCTTCACTTCCACTGACCATAATAAAATTTTGGCCTAAGCTTCAGAGGAACACCTCCTAGGAGATGCACCAAGTCTTGGAAAACCATGCTTAAGTATCTCTAGCTTCTAAGCAAGACTTCCAAAGATAGGGAATTGGGTTACCTGAATTATAAGTGGGAAGCGTTCCTACTTAAGAAGCCTCCAGAAGCTCCCCGAGTTCTTTCTCCTCTGTGGCCTGCTGTGGCCATTCCACTTCCTGACCACTAAGAGCATGGGCTCTTCAGTCCTGCCTCCACCCTTTGTGCTGGCCCAGCCCACCCGGCCTCTGACACGAGCCATTCCTGGGCACACTTTTGGCCCATCCTGCTATGCCAGGCCATGGAGATGTGTCTACAGCGGGGTGACCTGGGGAACCTGGTGGGTCCTCTTCCCTAGAAAGATGCTTCACCCACTCAGGGCAAAGGGCTCTTTCTTTACCGTGGCAAAGGGAGGTCAAACTGAGCCCAACTTTTGCACCGATAAGCATCCGGGAGGTATCCTCAGGTATCTCAACACTCTGTCATCTGAGGAAGAAGGCACAAGCTTATGGCAATTTTCTTTTGTACTTCTTCTCTCTGGAGCAGGGCGAAGCTGGCTTGCTCTTGAGTACTTCTTTCTTGAGTACTTGCTCTTGAGTACTTTCATGACTCTAAACATGCTGACTCCCCATACCTGTCAGAAGCGAGTAGTGATAAGGGTGAATGGGGAACGAGGCTTAAGAGCTTTATCCTAAAACCGCCCTGCGGTAAGAACAGCCATATCCATTGTTGGACTCACTGTGTGTGCTTACCGGGCACGTTCCATACCTCTATCTCATTTAATTCTTGCAGCTCTTTGAGGCAGCTCCTAGAATGAACCCAACTTAAAGCTTGGGGAACTGCCTTTACATAGCCATTTAGGAAGGGGTCACAGTGGGATTCAAACCCCAGTAGGGGCCTCCACAGTCCACACCCTCAGTGACTATGTTGTACTTTTTCTTGCTCAGTCACCCAAACAGGGACTCTCAACTCCTGGCTACTTGCCTTCATCACCTTTCTTTATGGTCCCTGCTCCCAGGATTGTCCTGAAAATGACTCCAGGGACTTTGTTTGGGACATATCCCCACCCCTTGTCTTCTCCCCAAGGCCCCCTGAACCTCTTGAGATTGGAGTCGTGTTTTGAGCTGTGCATTGGTGGAGACCATGGTCTACATGGGTAGACCTAGACTCTCAGCTTCAAGCCCAGTTCTGCCACTTAGCAGAAGTGAAAACTTAGCATGTCATTAGACTCCCCAAGGCTTGTCTTCTGCGTTTGTACCACAGGATAATAGCAGTGACTGCCTAATAGTGCTTTTCATAGGATTAGAGAGGCTGATGCATGTCAACACTTAGCATAGTATTGGGTGTCCTGAAGGGTGAAGGGAATACCCGCTTTTCTACTAACAGAATTCCTGTTCAGTTTTTGAAAGCTTGAGGTTAGAAAGTGCAAAAACAGATTCCCTTTTGATTCCTAATTTCTCCAAGTTTTGTTTCGCTTATCCACATTTTAACACCACTGCTCCCTGAAGCCACTTCACGTGGTTTTTGAGCACTCCCTGCTTTTTTTTTTTTTAATTTTTTTTCAACGTTTATTTATTTTTGGAACAGAGAGAGACAGAGCATGAACGGGGGAGGGGCAGAGAGAGAGGGAGACACAGAATCGGAAACAGGCTCCAGTCTCCGAGCCATCAGCCCAGAGCCTGACGCAGGGCTCGAACTCACGGACCGCAAGATCGTGACCTGGCTGAAGTCGGACGCTTAACCGACTGCGCCACCCAGGCGCCCCGAGCACTCCCTGCTTTTCTATCATGCTTCTTTTGACACACAAGGACTCAGCTCTTCTGTCTGTTTGGAGAGGAGACAGCTCTTCCCAGCGGCCCTTGGTCAAAGCCTGTGCCATTGGTATAGGCCTAGGGGATTCACAGTGCCTCCACTTAAATTCAGCAACTCAGAGGCTCGGTCCATATGCAGGGTGTGGAACCTTTGTGAAGTCCTGAGTAACAGCAGATTATCACCTTACATCAGAGTTTTGGTTGTCCCCCTGCCCCCCCCCCCTTCTAGACTTCAGAACTGGGTTTGACTAACAGCCTGAACCAGTGCACCTATCAGAAGTATAGTGAGAGCCCCAAGGTCAAGCCTCATATATATAGCATTAACTTTTCTAGTGGTCACCCATTTGAACAGGGAAAAAAGAAAGAGGTGAATTAATTTTAACAATATATTTTATTAAGCCCAATATCCAAAATATTATCAGAATAACATATATTTAATATAAAAAAAATTATTCACTAGGGGCGCCTGGGTGGCTTGGTCAGTTACGTGTCCAACTCTTGGTTTAGGCTCAGCTCATGACCTCGTGGTTTTGTGGGTTCGAGCCCTCTGTCAGGCTCTATGCTGGCAGCACAGAGCCTGCGTGGGATTGATTCTCTGTCTCCCTCTCTCTCTGCCCCTTCCCACTTGCACTGTCTCTGTCCCTTCAAAAATAAAATAAGCTTTATTAAAAAAATTATTCATGTGATAACATGTTTTTTAATTTGTACTAAATTTAAAAATCTCTGGGGTGCCTGGGTGGCTCAGTTGGTTGGGCGTCTGACTTCGACTCGGGTCACGATCTCCCGGTTTGTGAGTTTGAGACCCTGTCGGACTCTGTGCTGACAGCACAGAGCCTGGAGCCTGCTTTGGAATCTGTGACTCCCTGTCTCTCTCTTTTCCCCTTGCCCACTCACTGTCTGTCTCTCAAAAAATAAACAAATGTTAAAAAATTTTGAAAAAATAATAACATTTAATGCGTAGTTTACTCTTACAACACATCTTAATTTGCACTGGCCCATTTCGAGTGCTCAGCAGCTATACGTGCCACTGGCTGCCATTAGTGCAGCTCTGAGCCATCAGTCCCCATGGTCCCAGCCTCCTTAGACATTTCCCATGGGAGGTCTACCCATGAGGGTTGCCTTCTTATCCCAGAAGTGCTGTACAGCTCATGTCCAAGGTTCACTTTGTCTCTGATAAGTACATACGATGGTGCTTGAAGTAAATCTCACACTTACGCTAGTGCAGTGGTTCTTAATCAGGAAGCATATCAGAATTGCACATCTGAGATTCCTCAAAGTGCTTTTCTGCTCCAGGAGTCTAGCATAAATTAAAATCACCGAACCAGAGGCGTGTGTATTTTGATTCTGACACTGTCTCCGCAGCCAGACCCTGCCACCACCTTCCCAAGTGAGAATCGCCATCTTGGTGGCTTTTCAGACAGATGGCACCCAGATGAGTAGTTCTGAAATGAAAGTTTCGAAGATCAAAATAATCGAACTTCTAGCAGGGCCCGTTCTATCTGTTCCTTGATTCCCTGGTCTTTCAAAACACATAAAGGCTCCGACTTGACTTTCTTTTCCTCGGTGGTCATCACGATCTTCCCCAACATCCGTCCCTTTGCCTCCTGTATTTCAGGCATATGAGACATAGCAATAGCTGAGTACATATAGCACATCAAAGGTTGGAGTCCAAATTGAATCGAGGTCTTCCATATCTTATCAATTTACTCAATAACATTGTCTTTCTCTGTAGAGGTTACTCTTTTATGCACATAAATGAGAATTAGAACATCTCTGTCCTGTTCCTCTCGTGGTATAGCTGTGCGATGATGCATGCTGCCGTCCATTTCCCTGGAACATTTGCCATAAATTTGCTTTTAAAAGACATTCTCTTACAATACTGTCGGTGGCCCTTGCATTAAAAATGAGAAAAATATGGAAACATGCATTAAAATATTCGGAAATAAATGGCTTCTTTATTACATAAAAGCTCTCATGTGTCTCAAAGGTACTGAGAATAGAATAATTTATCGTAAATGAGATTATTATTGCCGGGAAAAGGTCTATTTTAATGCCAGTTTTCTTGGGGATTAAACCAAACCCTAACGGTCCACTGGGGGTGTTCATAAATGTGTAAGTCAAATGCTTAAAAGCCTTAAGTGGAAAATACATGCTGATGTAGCATCTTTGGGAAGACAGAACACATTCTGTTTGTTCTTATCTCTGGGGGAGGGGGTTCAGCTCCAGTGTCCAGAAACAAAGTGAAGATAATGCCTCCTCTGAAACCCAGATGAAAATCCGCTGCGCTCTGGGGTTTGAATTGCAACGTCAGAGCCTCAGACTCTCAGCCCAAGGGTCTCCAGCAGCCGGGTGGTATCCAGTATCAGGGACACACTCTGCAAAAACAAACATTGTCTTGAGAAAATGTTATCCTGTCGTCCTCTAGGACACATGTTTCGTAAGAAGATAAATGGGGACTCAAAAGGAAAACTGCAAATCTGGAGTTTTAGAAAAAGAGTGAATTATATTTTCTGATATAGCCAGAAAATAGGGTGTTCTGGTTAACATGCGTGATGAATATGTGGTCGACTTTTGGAGACTCAGAACGTGATCGAACGCATTTCTCCTGAAAACCGTATCGAATTAATACTATGTATATTAACTTATATTATTTATATTGATTAATATTAATTTGATCTGTATGTGTTAAATCAGGGTCATCTTTATAAATATTAATTATCATTGTACAGTAACCGAGCAGAGAACTAGTGATCAGAATGCCACTTAAATCACCTTCTATGGGACAGTTTTAATGGTCTTGGAGGGGAGAAAACCAACCTTATGCACTAAGCCAGGGTGTCTGATGACTTCTGCAAGGAAGAGAAGAGTAACGGGCATTCATTTTGCTGCCATTCTAACTTCCATGGAGACTGGCATGCTGGTGATTGTATTTTATACTCCCTATACCATAAAGGCTTTATTACATAACCCAGCGTTGTAATAACAGATGAAAGGAACCCTGTAGGTCACTCTCCTAACTTTCTCATTGTCATTTGCTAAAAGCACCCTTTATCCCATGTCCTCTTGCAACTTCATTTCTAGTCAGTACGTTGCCTCCCCTCTGGAAAGATCCCATGGAGCTGGGCACTAACATTGTCATGACTGTCTTGTTTGGAGGGATGAGAGGGAGGGTGTGAGCAGCCAGGGTCCTGGACCGGAAGAGAGGAGTTGGCAAGGAGGAAGTTTGGCTTAAGGACAGGCCCCCCAGGACAGATGCCTTGGCAGTCTATTTAAGTCCTTGGATGTCTGCACTGGGGATGTAACAAGAGCCAATATTTATTAAGCATTTTGTGTGTGCCAGGACCTGAGTATTATCTGCTTTAATCCTAACGCAACTCTGTGAAGTAGGCACTATGTCTCTGTTTTAAAGATGAGGATTAAGGCTCAAGAACATTAGGTAAATCCCGAGTCCACTCGTCAACTTCGTGGCCGATCCACGTCGTGCGTCCTCTCAGAGCTTGAGCCCAGACCTCTCTGCCCCCTGCTCACTCTTACACATGGCTTCCTTCTTTATCTTTATCTTTTCTGTCTCTCTCCTTTTTTAAGGTAATGAAGACTTCAGAGAATGTGTTAATATTAGCTCTATTCTTTTCAGACTTAAAGAGCAACATGGCAGTTTTTGGACTAAGATTCACGGGGCCCAAATTCATGCCTTTGTATAGCCATCAACTCACCATGTCATAGTGACATGAGACCATTGGGCCTCAGTTTGCCCATCTGTAAAATGAGGGAGTTGGACTAGATGGTACCCGGATGATTTGGTCTCTGACATTACGTGACTCCCCAGGGTCTAAGAGGGGCTGTTGGGCATGACTGACGTGGGCGATCCTCACCTGAGCTCCAAGTGCCAGGAGGACAGCCCTGTGATTGCAGCAACTAGACCTCCCAGCCCCAGATCCAAATACCCGCCACCCAAATCATTGGGTGACGATAAGTTGCAATAGCAATATGAAACCTGTAGCAGAAATTCAATGATATGGAAAATATGGTGGGTAAACCCACGCCTACCTGTTTGTGGAGGGTGAGGCACATCAGGAACGTCTTTATTTCCAACCTTGCCTTCAACACGCAGACCCTGAACCACTGACCTGCCCCAAGCTCCTGCAGCAAAATAAAGCTGAGAGCAGGGTTTCTGTTCTAAGAACATGCCCGGGACTCTGGCCTGGAGAGCTGACTTGCATATTTTCCACATGCATTTGCTTATTGCCTTTTGTTAAGTGGTTCCAAGTCCAGTTTGTAAAATGAGAGACCGCATCAAACCGGTGCGGATAGGGTAACTGCATTCCCATCCAGAGCAAAGGCGGTCACTCATAGGAAGCATGTTTTTAAACCAGTGCATGCAAACCCTTCCCAGTTGAGGAGAGAGAAAGCATAATTAGGCCAATTTGCCACGGTGAGAAGCTTGCCTTTCCTTGCCTTTAATGGGGGCAGCATACTTTGGAGATGAGAAGTGCCAAATGGTATGTAATTTTTAAAATCTTGTCCGTGTTTAATAGTTAATGCTAGTTTTCCTTCCATTCTTCCCCACACCCTCAATATCTTCCCCATTCAAGTATGAATCTTTGACATCCTCTCAGGGATTAGGATATCTTCAGCTGTTTACACAACTGGACATTAAGTCTAGTTAAGAAGACATTTGGGGGAAAAAAAATTACCTAAGAAAACAGGAATGTTGTTTGCCTTAGGGTTATATTTTGAGGCTCCATGGTATTCTCTGAAGGTCTTTGGTAAAAGCTTTTTGGTGGACGGAATGGATGGGGTGGAGAGGGTTGACAATTATTTGCAAAGTAGGAATAAGTGAAAGCATGTGGTAAATGACACCTGGCCTCCTGGCCTCCTTGTGCTGGAAGGCATCTGCTGTGCTTGTGAGATAAGATAAAACTCTAATGCAAATACTAATTTAGTTTCTCCTCTTTTGTGCTGGCCTGCCCTGTCGTGTTATCTCATTTTTGTAGGCTGGACCCTGGTACCCTTTGAGATTTTCTAGGCGGGTAATTGTTGTATTTTTGTGCATGGTGGGTCTTGTGCATGGAATGGAGATCACCTGACCCTCTCTCTCTGCCTCTCCTCTTCCCTTCTATATGCCCTACCTGCCTGACTTGGAGGCAAAATAAGCCGTCACTTCAAGAAAGCCATTATTCAAAGTGGATCGAATGACCAGCCACCACAGAGAGAGCTGGCATCAGCCTTGTATTGCTAATCATTGCTAATCATGAAAAAGCAGATGGGGACGGTGCAGGGGAGGGAGGGTTTACAGCAACACAGATTTGGAGCACTTCCTGGGTGAAGGGGGAGGTGAAGGGGGGCTGGGGAGCGACAGCTGCTGCAGTGGGCCCTCTGGGTCAGTGGTTCTTCACTTCCTCAGGGCGCAAAAGAGTCATCTGTGCTGTTTGTGAAAAAATGCAGATTTCTGGGTCCTGGCTTCAGAACTTCTGATTCCGTCCGTAGGGGAGGAAGGGAGAATGTCCATAGTGATTACTCTGATGCAGGCGGCCCAGGATCAGGGCAATGGAGGAAGGGTGCAGGAGGATGAAAAAGAGCAGAAAGGAGGAAGTAAACAGGTACGTGAAGGCAGCAGAAAATAAGATCTTTGGAGTCAAACTTAAGTTCTAATCTCAGTAATGTTCCCGCTTCATCATCACGAGCATTCTTCTTTCCTGTGTGAAACAAGGGGCAGTAACAATGGTGATAGTTGGTAATGTGCAAGGCGTCCTTACTTAACACAGGGCTCTGTGTTTTAGTGGACTGCCTGCTTTAAACCTCACGACACTGTAAGGAGGGCGTATTGTTACCTTCGTGTCACATGTGAGAAGACTGAGACACAGGCTGAGCAAGCATATGACTGGCCTACAAGGCCATGCTGCTAGTAAGTGTTGGAGCTGGGATTTGGACCCAGGGAGTCTGAGTTGGGGGAACTCGGAGAAAATGTGGAATATCCAGCCCCTGCCTGACCCACAGGGGCTCAGAGCTTGTTTCCTTCCCTCATGTGTTGCTGAGGATGGCAGTGAGCTGATCTGATTTATCAGTGTTTGTCAGCTGCCTGTTCTACATAATTGCTGGAGGGCTGGGGTGGGGGTGGGGGGGGTTAAAGACCTTCTCTGAGGTGCTGCTTTCTCATCCCTAAAACAAGGGCAGCAATCCTCTTGAGTCATGGGGTGCCACCATCAACTGAGACAACGCCTGTGAAAACAATTTTGTCAACTCTAACATTCTGTACAAATATCCAATGCTTTTAAGAAGACATATACAGTCTTCGCAGTCATTACACAGAGTAGCCAAAGCAATCTTTTTCAGATGTCACTCTCCTGCCTTCTAGTAGCTCCTAGGTAAGATAAAAATGTGTGTTCATGTGTTTTCAGAGAGTGGTTTAGTCTTCCTTTCCTAATGCAGCCTTGTTCTCTTGTGGTTGGAGGAGAGAGAATAGGTGAAAGTTGTCGAGGCTGCTCCATAGGGACAGAAGGAAGACTCTACCCCAGGGATGCGGGGAGGATGGCCAGTATGCAGGGCATTTCATGACATTCCAAACATCCCATGTATCCAGTAAGGGGTGGGGGTAGTCCCTCCACAGGCAAAGACTTCAACTCTCCAAGGAGAGACCACCCCCTTATACCTGGCTCTTGCCATGGTAAACAGTCTAACCTGCAAAGCTGATGAAGCCTTGTGTTAATACATCTTTGACTCAGGCATATTTAGTGTCTTATACCTGCTGTTGGAGGTTTTGCTGAGCTAGGTTTGTAACAAGGTGCTGTTTAAGTGAGAACCTCCTGCTGGGGAGAGCCCCCAAACCCACAGACAGGACTGTGGCAAGAGCCACAGTTCTTAGACTAGACAATAAAAGCAAACCAAAAAAATGATTACTTTGAGTTACTGTCTGCTTTTTCTAGGAGTCTCCCCACCATGACTCGTAGAAAAACTTCAGAGCCACCAAAGAGAAATAATGATAATTTTGCCCATAATGAGAGCTTGCAAACAAAATCTTGTGACAAATCAACACCATCCTCCCACATAGACCTATACACTTCCTCCTAGAAGAAAGAGGACCGTTTTTTTCCTGGGAAAAGTAGACAGCAGATCTGAAAAGAGACCACTTAAAAAAAAAAAAATAGAAAAAAATCTTTCCCACTTGTCGGCAATAGGTAGAACTCACTGTTTTCTTTAAATCTGTATCTCCTCGGATAAAAACCTCTTAGTTCAGTCTTCTCTTTTAAGGCGAACCAGTTTGGAGAAGGAAGAAGTAGAATTCATTTTTACAAAATTCAACTCGATTCCTTTTCATTTTATTCTCTTCCTTTCAGTACAGTTTGGTAAGCATTAAGGACCTGCCCTAGGCCAGGGAACTGTGTGGGTCCTGGGAGACAGCAATGCAAGAAATTGGCTTGTCTTTCTGTTCTTCTGGATCCAGAATGCAGATGGGCATCACTGGGCCAAGGGGCACTCCTTCTGGTGGCAGGATGGGATCAGAGAAGACAAAAGGGCCATAGAGAACCAGGGTCAAAAATTGGATTATACTTTGGTGGCGAGGCTGAAGGAACTATCAGCTAAGGGAGCCTGAAGACTTACCTCTAAGCAGACCATCCGGATGCAACTCCATACATGTCGTATCACAGACGCAACAGGATCTGGGAGTTAAGAATCCCTTTCGTGTCCTTCCCTTCAGCTTTAACATCCACCAAGTTACTGCCTTGATTTTTCAGATGAAAACACTAAGCCTCAGTCATGACTCACCCACGGTGCTGAAATTGCAGTGTGGCCAAGATGGGACATTGAACCCCTACCTCCTGTCTCCCAATTTATCATTCTTCCTGCCCCATCCCCCTCTATGGACACCTCGCATTCACAGAACATTTTGCTCCACTAAAAGTATTGTGTTACATCGTCCTATGTGCACTTCATTTATACTTTACTGAAATTCCCACCTGGGGCAAAGTAGTCTTTGAGAACTGTGGCTTCTATTGTTGTTCTGTTACTATTTAGGTGTCTCAGAGAAAGCCTTAGTTTTCTCAGCTGTAAAAGTCGGGTCCGGACAAGGAGAAAGGACTAGCATTGCTTTAGTTTCAGCATTTTGTGATGCTGAAATCTGTTACTCTATTCGTTCACACTCCATTTCTTTCGGGGGTTTTTTGTTTGTTTTTTGTTGTAGGGTTTTTTTTTTTTTTTAGCCGTCACAAAAGTCACATATTGAGAAATGGCATCCATTGTTCATGCCGGATTCATTACAGTTTGAAAACTCTGGAGGCAGAAAATGAACTTTGATATTTTTGCAAATGTAAAAATTCTTTCAGCCATGCCAAATTAACTCAAAACATCTGAATAGTTTGCTTCCAGGTATCATAAAATTTTCTCTTTTAGACTTGGAATTCTATTTCAGAAAAGTTCTATTTTCATAGATGTTGTAGTAAAAGAGTGAAAAATTGCTGAGAACCCGGTAGGATGATATTTGCCGTGTGGGCTGAGAGCCAACGATTGTTCTTACTGACTCTCAGTAGAGAAGGGAGAAGTATTTTCTAACTATCCCTGGAATCTCTCAGTCAGCTTGGAATTTAAGGGATTTTCCTGATGTGTTTTGTGGAGGTCATTTAATGTAGAGGGGCCCAGGTGAAAATTCTTAACCCTATAGTGGAAGATAGAAGACTGGTTTGGGATGGGAATCCCACTTCGTTGTAATCAATCAGCTGGTGGCTCTGTGAGCAGTCACCTTGCCCAGACTCAGCTCTGCCTGGCACCATGGATGACACAAAAGCAGTTGAAGGCCTGGTCTGCCCTGAGTTAGCTTGAGAGTGACTGACTCCGAGCTAGGTTCCCAGGCTCAACTCCAGCCATTGATCTCCTAAAGTCTCTGCAGGTGGCAGACAGAATCTATGTTTCGCTGAGTGTCCAAGTGATACTTACACATGCTGTAGATCGACAGCTACTGCCATGCAGTCTTCTGAAGGACACAAAATTTATACACACACAGAAAACTGTCATCACCACAAAATCCCATACCTCATGAGACGAATTATAAGCAGCAATAGGGTGACCAGTTCCTGTGGAGTCCATGGGTGGCTGGAGAGGAGGAGAAAAGACCCCCGAGGACCCTTTCCCCAGTGAGAAGCTGTAAGAAAGGTGGGACAAAAGGTAAAGTGCAGGCTGACCACAGCCTGAAATATGGACGTGCTGGTTGGATGGAGGCAGGGCCACACATGGGCGCCGCAGGACCCAAGCTCGGCCTTGAGAGAGACAGAGAATGTGGTCAGCTCACGTTTGATTGAGCAGGTATTCAACTTTTTAAAAACTGTGCTATCTTATAGGCGGTGGCAGATATATGAAAGCCGTGCTTTTCAGTAGCTGCCTCACGGACCTTACACACTAGTGGACAGGGAAGGAGGGTAATGCTTTAGGAAAGAAATCTTTTTCCCCCAGTGAGAGGAGAGTAACAAAGGAGACAACTACAGGTGCCAAGCAGTGATCTGTAAGGCCCAAGGAAGGGCCCTGTCCCTCAGAGTTTCAGGTTTGGAGGCCAGTGAGAACATGAGGGGCTCACATGGGGGAAGCCGAGGGGGACCGGAGCCAAACCTTGGGGGTTAGGAGGACAGTACGGAAAATAAACAGGAAGGAGAGAGGAGTAAGAGGGCTCCCTCCTGGGGACCAAAGGCTAGGAGAGAAGGCAAGCTTCCAGAACGGGCATGAGGTTCTCTTCCCACAGTTGGGCTGTGGATTAGAACTCTGAGTCCCGCCATCTTCCACACAGAACACCGTCTTC